ACAACCTAAACACTATTGACGGCCATTAATTCTCTTCCACCCCCCAACGAATTTATGGTTTGATGCCAAATCGTTTAACTATAAGACAGACACAACATGGAATATATATATATATATATATATATATATATATATATATATATATATATATATATATATATATATATATATTAGAAATCAATTATTCGCTGAACCTATTTTAAAACTTTCCCAGTTACTATGACAACATACACAATTAAAAAAATAGTCTCTAAGACGGTAACAAAATATGAATATCAATAAAACAAAACTACACACATACATAAATAAACAATAAGGGTTATAATAAGATCTATTGACTAGTATATCCATATATCCATATATAAGTGCATGTTATCTATAAAGAATGGATTCTCTTTTGCTTGTCATAACAACAACAACAACAAAAAGAAAAAGGAAAAATGTAATTCATGTCTTAAAACTTACATAATCTTCTTGACCGAATACAAGATACTGAAAAAGAGAAAAAAAGAAAAAGAAAAATGTTGAAAAAAACCGAAAATGAATTTCTTTTTTTCTCTTTTTGTTTTTTTCTAGGAAAAAGAATTTTTTTGTTTTAAACGAAAATTTAAAAAAAAAATTGACAATTGAATATTAGAAATCGATTCATTTTTGTTTCAAAAATTGGCATGTAACGATTATAGATTTCTAAGGAAAGATGAATAGGAGGTTAGCAGTAGAATCTAATATATGAGTTTTATTCTATTTGGAACTTTTTAGCTAGATATATCTGTATCTTGGAGTTGATATTCACTTTGGGATTCGAACTCAGTATCGTTGGTTTCAAATGTTATCCATTTATCTACTGAGTTCTGATAGCTAGTTGCTATCCATCTTTGCTTATCATACTTGTGAATTAAAGCAATATCGAGGCAATCTGCACAGTATGTACATATGCTAATAATAAGAGAGTGATCGATTGCAGTACTAAACATGAATGGGAAAATTCAAGTAAACATTATCAAGTGATTAATATCAGATGGGTTTTTTGTGGATATTATAGTAATTTCAATGGTTAAGATCATGATTCAATTGAAGCGAGACCATCATGGAAAACCTGGAAACACTAAACGACCGTTTCCTTACTAGTATGGAACTCCTCAACAGTGCGCATCCACGACCTCGCCCTCCGCGAGACTCTAACCTAGGACCTACTGGTCTCGCGTGCGAGCACTTAACCACTAGACCACTGAGAAGGCCGGCATGCAATCATGTTAATGTCTAACTTCAACTAATCCACAAAATTGAGCGACACATCCATCAGTGAGTTACTATCTCACGACAGACCTGGTTGAACTCCACTGTTCAGTGCTTCTCATTAGAACTCGAGGAAATACCTCTTGAAGCCTATGACTAGTGAGCATATGTTGATTAATATCAATGGTTAAGATCATGAGTCAGTGAGTTATTATAGATTTCATTTTAATTTATATTAGCTAAGATGAGAAACATTCTGAATGAACTCTGGTCATTAAATAAAAAAATTGTTGAAACAATATGTTATAGATTTCGAAGTACTTCACTTGGATGAAATGATATTTATTTACATATGAAGTGTCTATAGTAATTAAATATAACTATAGTACGTTGGAAATATGAACACGTATATTCTGATCCAGTAATCGAATGATATTGTGTTTATCTTGAAGATTGAAAGATATCTTATCCAATCATAATTTTGAAATCTTGAATGTATACTCTTGAAGAGTCATGAACTAGAACGAAACAATCATCCTATTTATTATTTTATTCAATAATTCTTCAACTAGTATCAGTTTAGAATAATAATAATCATAAAATGTTACAGACTATTCAGTTTTTCTTCAAAATACATATTAGAATTGTTATTACTAAAACAAAGAACTCAGCCTGAAGTCTCTCTGAGGATACGGCCAGTTCCGGAGGAGGTTTGAACATGGGATTAGCAAACCTATCCGATAGAAAACTAAGTATGCTTATGATATTGTTCTATTATTATCTTCACTTGAATCAATTTTCAAGGATGAAACCTTGGTTTGTGATCAGTTTATTGAAAGAAAATTAATTTTTTTGAAACACCGGATGAAAACTGTTATATCCCAAAGAGAATTATGAATGATCACTTTTGAGAACTATTTATGAAGTAATATGGTACATATTCATGTTCCTCTTATTATAAGCTTTATTTTGACTCATAGACTATTATGATACAATTTACCGTTCTTGAGTTATACTCTGTCTATCAATTGCAGTCTCCCGCATTTACTGCTACTTATGGCTAGAGCTTGTACAAATGTTGTTTCTTATTTTATGGTTTGATGTGGTCTGTTTAGTTTGTATATAACCTCAGTATGTTTTAAATACATGATTCATATCACAGAGGCTGATATTGGTGTTTCTGGACTCAACAAGTAGGGCTAGGCAGGATGAAGGACAGATAAAGACTCTAGACTACTCACATGGGTTTTATGCATCATTAGTTCGGTCAATAAGCCAATGTTCCCAAATCGATAGTATCATCACCTCATAGATATTAATAGAGTTACAAGGCCATAAGTTATAACGAAAGCAACAAAAGAAATTTAAATCATTCGGTTAAAGTATGATAGATCTGCTATGTTTGAAGCGATGACGAGTTCACCTAGTCTGCGAACAGAACAAAGACTCTGTGATCAAAGACCAATAAGCTAGCTATACTGATACATCCCAGCCCTGCTAACCAGAAAGAGAAGTTCAAGTTTGAAACGGGGAAATATATTCCACAAGCAACCAAAAGCATGAGCATTCACAACAAGTCTAGTCGGAAATACACTCATTTATATATTGATTTGTACCCCCCCCATTTTTGACTAACAATCAGAATTAATCACATATATTTCATACAAGAACACCTTTCAGTAGATTTGATTATCTTCCATAGATTTTAATATTTACTAAATCATTTTATACTACTCATTAGTACTTTAGTTAATATAGATAAAGTTTTAAGTAGTATCTTAATAATTGCTGAAATGACGAATGAATAAACATTATCCTCACAGTATTATTGCTTAAATATTCATATAAATATGTTATTGTACAGCTTGGAGTGAGATCCCTTCGCTGAACTTCATGTTTTGAGAGAAAGCATGAAGAAAACTGCATCTTTTAAAACTTGGCTAATATATTTGAAAAGACTAATCTATGAACAGAGAATAGTCTTTTCAATAAATTCTCTTCAGGTTCTACAATGATATATATGTACTCGCTAACACCTCCCAGCACAGCTAAGTAAAAGTCTGGTGAAAAAAGTGAACAGCTCGACATTGGCTTATTTAGTGTAAATTGGTCATATTGCCAGTATAAACCAATCCTTTTCAATTATTCATCGGGTCAGTAATACTTTGCTATAGCTTGTCAGACTTAAAGTCCTTCAAATGGCTGAAACAGTAGCCATCTGGATGAAGAAACCGGAGCTATATAGATCAAAGAAATATCTTCAGTCGTTTCTCCTCCCCTGACCAACCTCGAGGCCATTTGATCAACAGTAATCTTAACTATTGAATAACCTAATTTGACTATTGTACTTACTACATTTCGTAGTCAAATTTACTTGTCTTTCTTCGTCTTTATTCACAAATCTATGTATTATTATTATCATTATTGTTATTACTATTGGTCAAACATCATTATTAATCTCCCCAATACCCCATCTCATAGAAGACAACCTTGCTTAAAGCAATTAAATTCTACCCTCCTAGGTGAATGATCTCCATTCAGAAGAACTATGACACTTCAGGATGAATGCCGAGATTCTTCGAAAATCACAAGTCCTATACCCCTTTCCAACAATCAAAGCAACTATTTTTATAGGTACATGGAACATCCACGTGATGTGGGAGACCGAGAGGACCAATCAAACAGCTGAGGTAACAGAATGTTTGTTTCATCGTATTTGAGATTTATTCGTTGAATCATAGTTATTTTTTAACATATTGTGTAATCTATGCATCCTTTTTATATGCCGTTCTTCACATAACAACAGTGACATGGAATTCATATACCTGTCTTTCCAGAAAAATTCGGTAGTATTCAATAACAAAAACAACCATTAAAAAAGGCCTTAAAAACATTAGATGGATGTTACCTATATCTATAACCAAACTAACCGATTGTATTTTACTTTGAACTTCTTTGAATCATCATCAGTGTATGACACTGGAACAATTGAACTTCAATCTAAGATGTAGGTTTGTGTCCCTAGTTACTGTTTAACTTATCTCTCAATGAGTAATTATGAGATTCGTCTACTGAAGTTGGAAGATTTTTGTAGATTACAGGTGAATGAAATGTTTTCGAAGAGTTGGGTAAATGTAGGGAAACCAACTAGTGAGTAATATTTAAGTTTAATGAAAGTACTAAAGATTAATCGCATCCACAATTAAAGGGAACAAGTTTTTTCTACGTTTTTGATTAAGATCATGAGCCAATTGATGTTAAACCACTATTTAAAACCTGAAAGCACTGGAAGACCATTTCGTTCTATTGTGGGACTCGTCAGCAGTGCACATCCACGATCCCTGCCGTGGGATTCAATCCCAGTGCCTTCACTTATCACTGCAACTCAGTTTAACTTTGATGTGGTCTGTATGTATTATACTGTCAATCGGCAAAAATATTACTCTTCTTAGGAATATGATTGTCACATACACTTGGGATTATAGTACCGTCTATGTGTTATATTTTCCATATTTGACTAAATACCATCATAAGCACCGGAATATTTTTATATTATTTTGTTTAACTACTAACTAGAATTCAGTAGAACAAAATGTTTGGAAAAACTTTTGATCGTGTGCATAATTTTTGTTTGGTTCTAAATATTTGAATGGGAACTTGATGAAGATTTAACATCATATTCCATTTGTGAAATAAAAAAATTGGAGAAAAACATAAGTAGGTTTTTTTTTAAATCAGCTAATATCCAAGTTGGGTAACTGATTCCCTTAGTAACAAACTACAACTGAGATGTTATTGATTATGATCAAATGTGTGATTCCTATATGATACATGAGAAAATGACCATTTTAAAAATTAATTTTTAGTAGATGATTATTAAAACTAACTAGAGAAATGATAGAGAATTGTTTAGCTAATTCATTTTCATTTAAGATTTTAAAACATATTACATCATATCTATCATCCCTGACGAATCTAAGAAAAAAAAGCGAAATTATCTGTGATTGGTGAATATTTACTATGACCTTCGAGTTATATCTCCAATTAAGAATGTTGCAACATCCGTTTTATCGGATTTTATCAATGGTCAGTAACAATATGTAATTAATTTCAATGATTTATGTGGGGAGGTGGGAGCAGTATGTATAACTAACAAGAAGGTGGTCTCTGAGAGTATTCGTGCTTTCATGAATCCTGATATATCTTGTTGACAAATGCGATTTAACATGAAATACAGGTTATTAAGGTTTTCCTGATAACTAAATTCACCCATTAACCTAGATGTAATATCTATGTTAGTAAGTTTGATCATTTCAATGAATGTAATTTATTATAATACATTCACAAGTATTATAAACAAAGATGGATACTGGTTAGCAATGAAATCCAGTTTGACGTGCGTTTCATCCTATTTGGGACTCGTCAACTGGACGTACCTATATCTCAGAGTTGATGTTCACTCCGGGATGAAACACTCATCCTAGATTCCATTGCTAATCATAATCTATCTTTGTTTAAAACATCTTAGTTTGTGTCAAATATGGTTGGTGATAAATCCATAGATGAGGATTATCCATTGTAACTAACATCCAATGTCTCATTTAAAATGAACTCACATTTTAAGCAAAATTACGTTTCTATTGACCAGCTAGAAATCTCAAACAATTAATCCCTTTGATAAATTCTGATTATGAGAAGACGAAATTTATCAGAATTATTGAAGACTTGGCTATACAGACATTGAAACCGCCTTTATGCGTTCAAACACAATTTGTCCTTACCCTTAACCTACCTAGGTGGTTGCTTCGAATGGAGCTCCTCTATGGCTATTGCTGGTCCCAAACCCGAATAAAGGAGAAGGGTTGAACATTGAGTTAGGGACCCCATCTTGTCAAAATCTAATTCGCTAAAAAAACGCTAACCAGAAAAAATAATTCAAACTATCTAAACTCTACCCTGAGAGTTAGAAAATCTTCATTTAGAAGAGTTATGACGCCTCATAGTGAAAACCGAATTCCTTCGGAAGTTATGAAGTTGATTCACCTTCTGACAACCAGAACAACCATTAATTTAAGTATATGAAATAATCTTACAATGTGAAAGACTAAGAGAGTCTTTCAAATTGCTGAAGAAATGAAAAGATATAACCTGGATGTGAGAAGGTAAATGTGTTTATTAACAGTTGCCTATGCAAAATACTTCAGATTCGTTGGCCGGACACTATTAGGAACAACCAACTGTGTTAAAGAACAAATCAGATCCCAGTGGAGGAATAAATCAGGACGAAGCACTGGAAGTGGATAGGACACACATTGAGGAAAGCACTCAACTGCGTCACAAGGCAAGCTCTCACATGGAATCCTGAAGGCCAAAGTAGTACAGGAATACCAAAGAACACATTACGCCGAGAAATGGAGATAGATATGAGAAAAATGAACAAAAATTGGATAGAACTAGAAAAGAAGGCTGAGGACAGAGTGAGTTGGAGAATGATGGTCGGCGGCCTATGCTCCATTAGGAGTAACAGGCGTAAGTAAGTAAGTAACTTGGATATGATTGAATTCAATGAAACACATTGGATACAAGTTTAAACAATAACCATCACAACAACAACAGCAACAGTAACAAGGGAAACTTCTATTCTACTTCATTTTACATTGAATAGTAAAATATATCATGAATAATTACAATGTAAACAGGATCAACATAGAAACTTACCGATGTACATAAAGCCAATAAAGTTAAATATAAACGCATTTTTCCCAATGATCTTAAAATGATAATCGTTTAACTATGGAATAATAATAAGAGTAAAATGAACAAGATTCCAATGGTGTTGATAATCAAAATGTATAATTCCCTTTTTTTTGTATCTTGTCTAATATGTGCATTTTCCCTAATTACACTACTATAATCATCACTGATTGGTTAATAGATTTCTTTCCCTATCCCCTATTTTGTTAATGTGATTTATTGATCGATCGTTTTATGATTGAATGAAACAATTTGTAGGATAAACAATGAAGGATTAATTTTTGGACAAATATTTAACTGATAAATACCATCATCATTGTTACTATCATCCTTATCACTAAACAAACATTATGATATTTCCATTAATCAGTCAGTCAATCAGTCAGTCAGCTACAATGTAGGACCAGGCACATATACGCACCGGTCCAAGTTGCCATACCTCATTAACACAACAAAATGAACACCGGATTCGTAGAAGTAGTCGATTCAATGGTAGTAGTGATATATAAAAGAAAGATTGCATATGAGGATATAGTACAGGAAGAAAGAATAACTAGTATAGGGGTTGTGGAGATTATTAGGTTTTTGATTAAGATCATGAAGATCAGGTTTCTAAAGGTGATCTAATATCAATCGGTTCATGGTCTCAATCAATACCTTAATAATCTCCACAACCCCATACTGATAATTACCATGTGTTCACTAGTGGCTAGCTTCGTGAGGAAATTCTCAGAGTTCTAGTGAGAAGACGTGACCAGTGGAGCTAATCCGTGTCGGGTAGAGTCAGGTATCTACGTCAGTACAATGGAAGATGGTCGCGCAATTACGTGAATTGGTTGAGGTTAGACACTATCACCATTGGATACTGGCCAGCTCAGTGGTCTAATAGATTGAGCATTCGCATGCGAGAATGAAGGCTCTGGGTTCGAATCCAGTGAGGCGGGATCGTAAGTGTGCGCTGCTGAGGAGTCCCACAATAGGAGCCATGTCACCAAGAGTCTCCGACCATTGGTTACGATAGTCACGCGGACCCTAACCAACATTTCCACTAATACATATATAACATTGGAACTTATCTACAAGATGATGAAGTGAAGTATGTATTCGAACAGTTAGATTTTAATAGATTATTATGAACTGATATTTTATTGTAAGGAATCACTATGAACGGGATGAGATATGGGATAAATTTGGTAATCTAGAAATAAGTACCATGTTTATTATTAGAAATAGGGGAGACTATAATTTGTGAACCTAACCAATTAGAGTTCATATAAGATGTCTTGAATTTTGGCGCGAAATTCACTCAATTATTTTGTAACAGTAGCAAAAATTATTACATGTGATGTTACTAACGCGAGTCTGTTTTTGATGGAGTTTTGTTCTCTGAGCTGGATGGTTTGGTCGTGGAGCTTTCATCGTTCTTCTGAACGACATCATCAGCACAAACTTCAGATAGAAGTGAAGTGTTCGAATTTCTCCACCTCAGCTATAAATCTTCTCCACGATCTCACGAGTCTGTTTTTCTTATTGCAAGACAACAAAGAGTAAACGCACTAGAAGAAGAAGAAGAAAAAGCTCTAGCGAAGCTGAACATGCAGAACGATAGATTAAACTATTTTGTAATAAGTTTTCTTATTTTGTAATGTTTTTATTTATTATATTTTTACACATAGATATTAGTACAAGAAGGCACCAAATACATATGCGCCACATAAATCTCATTCGATATGTGTGAGGGCTGGGATACTACCCGGGTGCCCAAACCGAAGCAGGTGGTTTTCTTAGGGGGATACACCCTGAGCCTTCTACCTGAAGGTCTGATCCACAAGGCAGTGAAGCATCATAAGAAGATGCAGTCACATGGAAGCCGATGACCAACAATCGGTTCATACGCCATTTGTTCCCTCAAAATCCTGGAGCCCATGTGCACCATTGATTTGGAATCCGGTTAAAGCGCCGGACATTCGCTTTTCGTCCTCTCAATTTCGTAAACAACAGTAATGCCACGAGAAGGTAGTGAGTAGGACCTCCCTGGCAGAGGCTGTATACGCGTGGCCATGTGAGAGCATTTCGAGAAGGAGAGAGGGCTCCTCTCACTCTCGACCATACCAGGGCATTTGGGGGCCCATTTTGTAATACGATTGCGTCTTTCAATTTTAAAATATATCTCTGTTATGCCAGTATGTCGCGTCCTCACTTCAGAGGCAGTTACCAGTTCTGACTGTTCTGTTGTTGTTTCAGATCACTCCTACTTCCGAATAAACACTAATACAAAGTGCTACAATTTGGTTAAATAGTATCTTGGCATTTTATTTTATGTCCATTTGTGATGAAAACCCATAAATCGTAATCCTAACCCTTACTATCAATCGTAAATCACCGTGTTTATTCTTCAAACTGTTTTATAATATTCATTTAGTCTCATTAAGTAGGTAGATACTCTCAAAGTCACTTTGGTATCATTCAAAGGTCGATCATAAATTATAGTCTCATCCAGAAACATCAGCTCTGAATATTATAAGAATAGGCCGCCCACCATCAATCTCTATCCAACCCTGTCTCAAGTAATTCTTTTCAGTTGTTATTCATCCTTTTTATACCTTCTTCTGTTTCTTGACGTTATGTGTTCTTTGGCCTTCCATTTTTCCACTTTCCCTACAGGATTCCAAGTTAGCACTTGTTTCGTGATACAGTTTAATGATTTCCTTAATCTATGTCCTATTCACTTCCAACGTCTTTTACTAATTTTCTCTTCACCTGAAAGCTGGTTTGTTTCTCTACCATAGAAGACTGTTGCTGATGGTATCCGGCTAATGGATGTTGAGTATCTTGTGTTGACAACTATTTATAAGTACTTGTACCTTCATGATTATGGTTGTAGTAGTTCTCCACGTTTGAGCTCCATACAGTTGGACTGTTTTGACATTCGTAATAAAGATTGTGACTTCGTTATTGGTTGACAGACAGTTGTTTTGAGTTTTATATGTTCTCTTATTGTAAGAATGCGGCCCTTGCTTTGCCAATTCTCGTCTTTACGTCTGCATCTGATCCTCTTTGTTCATCGATGATGTTTCTCAGGTACATGGAAGATTCCACATCTTCCAGAGTTTCGCCATCAAGTGTGATTGGGTCGATGTTCTCTGTGTTGCATTTGAGGATCTTATTTTTTCCTTTGTGTATGTTGAGGACAACTGATGCAAAGGCTGCTGCCACACTATTAGTGATAACCTGCATTTGTTGATATGTATGAAATAGAAGGGTTAGATTATCTGCTAAATCCAAATCTTCTAATTGATTCCGAGCTGTCTATTTTATTCTATGCTTTCTCTCAGTTGTCGAGGTCTTCATAATCCAGTCAAATACCAAAAGAAAGAGGAATAGGGGAAAGTAGACAGCTTTGTCTGACTCCGGTCTTTATTTGGAATGCATCTGTCAGTTGTCTTCCATGCACGACTTCCGGATAATGTTAACAATCTTCTCAACAACTCTATAGTGTCAAAAATTGATGCCTATAGGAATCTTAAAATAAATTGACATTTATACTATTCTGATAAACTAAATCAACGTAGGATACGAGTTCATTGTAATGAATAATGAAATGTTAGGTCCCGATAAACATAATGAATGGTAACTTTAGGCTATAACAATTGGCGACGGGGATGGGATTCGAACACATGCCTGTAACTGGACGAAATTCAGTCTAATTATTTCGAGCAATCACTATTCAGATTTGTCATCAGTGTCCTTCAACGACATTGGTCACTATTCATACAGTTAATCTCCGTTGCCGGTGCTGATTCGAAAAAAAGACTCTCCCTTCCGATCGATTACAGCTGCTATTTGAACGACAGTTGAAGTTCTTAGTCAAATTACGCACGCAGCTGCTGAATCACTCCATGAATCCTCGATAAACCATACTTCAAACGAAACAGCAGTCATTCAAGATCCGCCAAGTGGTCCAGTACTCTCCATTTCAGAAACATCCCCGGTAATGGATTCAAACTCCATTATCCATTCATTATGTTTATCGGGACCCAGTGCACCTCCCCCTTTTTTTGAAGATCCGGTAATGATATCCGGATTTTAAATTTTCCGGGTTCATCCTCCCCCCATGAAACAGTGTTGGATCCTCATATTCTCAAGTTACAATTTATTTGAATTTATTTAAAACATATTTGTCGCATTGAACAGAGAGTCAACTGAAAGTGACTACGTGGTGAGGCTGAACGACGCTTGATATGAGGTTGTTTCACCAGATGACATACGCTGCTTAACGGAACGTCAGTTAAATGTAGCCGGTCAAACCAGTCTAAATCAAGTAGATTAAGATCAGCTGATATGATGTAACATACCCCGGTAAAAGTCACCAAAATGTGACGACTTTAATAGATATCACTAAGGTTGATGTTAAATCCTGATGAAAATTATAAATGGTAACTGTTGGAATCTATTTATGGAATAATACGATATATTTATTTTTATTGTATAATTGTTAAGTAGCTAAACTATCTGCATATTCGTGTTCCTCTTATCATAAGCTTTATTTTGACCTATGAACTATTATTATACAATTTATCGTTCTTAAGTTATGCCCAGTCTATTCATTACAGTCTTCCGCATTCACAGCCACTTATGGCTAGAGCTTGTACAAATGTTGTTTCCTATTTTATAGTACGATATGGTCTGTTTGATTGGTATATAAACCCAGTATGTTTGAAATAAATTATTCGCATGGTGGAGGCTGAGATTGGTGTTCTGGACTTAACAGGCAGGCAGGGCTAAGCAAGAAGAAGAACCAATAAAGACTGTAGACCGCTCATACGGGTTTATGCGTCATTAGTCCGGTCGACAAATCACTGCTCGCTAATTAACGGTATCCTTATGTTATATATTAATAAGGCACAAATTCACAAATTCTAACAATTAGCCAAACAAGAAGTGATGAAATCAGTCAATCAATTTTCTGACTGTATGTTCACAGATTTTCAAGAGCTGGTTCA